TAAGTCAAACTCTATTTGTACATCAGTGAAGTAGCCTAAGTGGAACTAATTATTAATGGATAGATTAGTTGTACTTGGATGGAAGCATATGGCTGATTGTAGAGACAGAGTTTATGTTAAATTATGATTAATAGCTGCATCTAGACATTGTCTTGCTGCACTGCAGTTTAGAATGCAATGCAAAGACAATGATTATGTATTTCTGAGTGCTGTCTAAATGAACCTTGACAAAACATTGGCTATTATTTTCTTCACTGTTAGTCTCCTCTTTTATTTGTTCAACCAATCAGGTAATTTGTGACATCAGAAAAATGGTGACTAGCAATGTGTCAAAAGTACATCAGAATTTCTCCAAAGAAGCAAAAAGTGTTTTTGTGGAAATTATAAAATATTATCCTGCACTAGAGAAGAAGGGTTATGATAATTTTAATATAATTGTACTGTTGCAATGAAAAAAAATTGTATGGGAGAAGATTCAAAGTGAATTCTCTTTATCATTTTCTTGTTGGTCAGCTTGTGCTTTCTTTATCAATATATAAAAAACTTTTAATGTTTATTTAATGGTAATTTGATGTATAACTGCATGTAGTAGACGTGAACTTTGATAAAATCTCTACTCTCTACCCTCTGAAAGCTTCCAGTAGCATAAAATTGTAAGACTGTCAACAACTGTTGTTTGGCTGTTAATGGCAATCCTTTTCCATTTAGATGTTTATTAATTTTATTGCCAAAAATATGAACAAATCCAGATTTAGAAACTCTATACCAAATTTGGAATTTATCTTCAGAGTAGATTACTAAAGGATTATTCCACTTTTGTATTACACTCTTCTTTGTAATTGTCAGGATGAATAATTTTGTTGATTTATCCTATTTACAGCATTTAAAAATGAATGATATCCATTTTTATCTAAACTTTACAACAAACAAATCAATATGGTGACTTTCATTCAAATTAAAACACTAGAATCCTGCTATCAAATGAATCTGGAAAGTAGATAAAATAACTGGTTTCTTATTGCTGTCTAAACTGTAGCAAACAAGAAATGTTATCACTGCAATGAAATTTTTCTGAACTGTGATCTAGATTATCTTTAAATTGTCGTTGGCATCTAGATTTTGTCTCTGCAATTGGGAGATAGAGTTTTTGTTTTTCATATATGAGATGGAATAATATGTACTAGGTTGTACACGTGACTTAACCTTTAATTCTAGTAACATAGCATTAATACAATAAGGTTAGGTCATGTGTTCAGTAGTACTGGTAATGAACTAGAAGGTATTAGGTGTTCTGTTGTGTTTGATGTTGTATCTATATCTTACATTGTTAAACCTATTGGACAGTGGGTTTAGGGTTAAAAGAACCAGTGTGGTGTTCAATGGCAGCTTTCCCTTGTATTTTCTAAAATATAAATATGTATTGTGCGATTATTTTCATATTTTAATGTATTTTGAATTAATTAAAATTAATGTTTTATTATAACTGCATTATGTATCTTATTACAAATTTCTATACATGTTAAAAACAATAATAAAATTACTATTGTATATTTGAATATAAATTCGTATATGCATTTTCCCAATGTAAGTGCTGTAATTGTCAAATACGGAATAGCTTCCACGGCAAAAATATTTCAATCATGTAAAGCAGTGGTGTGCAAACTATTTTCATTTCTGACCCCCCCATTCTGTGTAAAATTTTGTTGTGACCCCTGGATAGACAGTAGACGTTTTTTAATGGTCAATGTACTTAAAGTGAAATTCTTTCTGGGATTTGCGCTTATGTTTCTGCCTTATTTGAGGTCTGAATAAAACACACAATTTGTTAAATTTCAGACGTTCTCACTAGTACTTTCAACAGTTTACAACTGTCATCTTCAGGCAAAATCGAATACCTTTGTTTTCAAATTGACAGCTTTTAATGGACTTTCTATATTCCAACCATGCACATTACATAATTTGGAAAGTCCGTTAAAAGCTGTCAATTTGAAAACAAAGGTATTCGATTTCACCTGAAGATGACGGTTGTAAACTGTTGAAAGTACTAGCAAGAACGTCTGAAATTTAACAAGTCGCTGTCAATAACGCCGCAACATGGAAATGTCATATTTTTAACACATAATTTTATGAAACAATGTTTCTATTTATGCATATAGTTATAAATTTTTATTTAATGAAAAATACTTTTAAAAATCTTTACATTGTAAGAATTCAATGTGAGGGATGCTATTATATTTTTATAAATATAATTTTATTTCATTATTTTACTGGTACCTGATACTTGTTGAAGAAAAGACATATTTTTTCTTGTCAAAGAAATTTCTTTGAATTTGGCAACTGTGAAAATTTTTCTTGTGACTCCCAGAGGGGTTGTGACCCATAGTTTGTGCACCAGTAGTGTAAAGCAGCCAGATTACAGGCATTCGTGCATGTGCTTTACAGAGCACCAACCTCTCATGGATGCTACACACCAAAGTATCATAATGCTTCCAATGATTCCATCCTTTAGCCACTCATAAGGAGCTATTTGACTAAGTGGATTGTTTTAAGATTTAAAAGTAAAGCATATTTGATGTTATTTTTATGTATGTTTCTTTACAAAGCTATATTTAATTATAATTATATTGACAGATTTTTAAACATAAAATCTCTAAAATTTTTATCACTTTTACATGTTAATAATTTTAAATATTATGAAAAACAATTTTCTGAAGTGAGTTTTAATTCCTTAAGTAAATTTTATGGAGAATTTTTTGATTTATCTAAATTATGCAGTGAATTGCAATATTTATATTCATATCCAGACTATATTGGCAAGTCACTCTTAGACATAAAAAATATAATTATAATTAATGACAATCTGTACAAAGATGTACTAAAAGAATTATATGATTTAATATCATTAATTTTTACAGTACCATCTGTGAGTGCAGTTTTTCAACCGTGAAACGAATTTATACATTTGCAAGGAACACTCAGTCAAGGGAAAGATTGTTGTTGCTAGCATCACTTTCAATAGAAAAAGAGCTTTTAAATACTTTAATGAAATCGATGACCAGTGATTTTTATGATAAAGTAATTAATGACTTTGCGGAAAAAAATTGCTGAATAGAGTTTATAAAAAATAATAAAAACAAGTTTTTATATCTTTGTTTTGTGTCAATTATCTATTCTAGAATTAAAATAAATAAACTGTTTATTTTTGTCATTTCCAGTATTTGTTTAAAATTTTTATGTAAACACAGCTTCCCTATCATCATGCCAGTGGTGGAGTTTGAGAATCTCCTTGGAAGGTTTCTTACCTATGTGATTTTGGTTTGTTTTAATTAATTAATGCATGTTGTAACTGACATGTAGTGTTGTTCTCCAGTTGTGTTTTTCAAGAAATGTAATAAGTGTTAGATGTAAAAAAACCAGTTTTGTTATTGAGGTGTATAAAAGGACGTAATGAAGATATTTTAGTTTTTCCTATTTTTTAAATGTTAATTATAAATATTTATATTAAATTGTTGTATGTGCAGTACATTGTATATGTATAGTATGCATAACAACCATGATATGTGGGATGCTTTTCTGTAATCCCATAGATTACAGAAAAGAATCCCATATTTTTGTATTTTTGTGCACTTGTTTTAGAATAAGTGTATCTATGAGTTATTATTTGAATCTCATTTTCTACAACCACCTCTTCGTTGTTCTGTGAGGATGTATTATTGTTTAATTTGCTGGTATATTTTGTTTGTAATACATGATGTAAATATTTTATAGAATGTTGGAAGACATGTAATTGGCCTATATTGTACAGGAATTTTGGTAGTGTTGTTTTTGATTTTATGTATGTGATGTCTTGCTTAAGAAATTTTGGCATGTCTTGTGAATTGTTGATTGTGTATAAAATTTTCAGATAAAAGTTTATGGTATAGAGATATAAATTATTTGTAACTAGAGACTGAATATTATCTATTAGGTATCTTCTAATTGTGTATTTTTTGTATTGCTTTATTATTAAATTTTCGCATAACATCTTCTAATCACTAATTGGATGAAGAATACAAAATTTCAACATTCTATTGGATGGCCTGATTATTAAAATTCATTAAGTCTTTACTAGATATGAAAGTTTATCTTTTGTTGAATTGATAGAATTAACATTAATATTTTTGATACTTTATGCAGTTCAAGCAGTTTCATATCAGATAGTCTATTTTTTCATTTCATACATTTTATAATTGCATCTACAATAATTTGCTAATGGAAATAAATGAAAGCAATGAGAAAAAAAACAGAATGTATGAGATGATTCTTTATAACCTGCATGTGAATTAAATGACTTGTTTTCAATGGAATGTTAGAGGTGTTGGTAACTTATGTGACATTTTTATGTTCATTTTAGCAATATCCTGCAAGTTATACAGTATTTGCTAATATTTATGTAATACAATATGTAATTTATATATGATAAATGCTAATATTATTTTATGAATAGTAATATTCACTGAAGATTTTTTAAATTTTTATTAGTGAATTAAATAATTCTCTTAATATCAGATGAAAGTCCAGTCTGATTATATTAATAAGTATGGAGGTGAATGGCAATTGGAAGCTGGAGCTTTAGTTCTTTCAGATGGAGGAATATGTTGTATAGATGAATTTAATAGTATTAGAGAACGTGACAGAGGAAGTATTCATGAAGCTATGGAACAACAAACTATTAGTGTTGCCAAAGTAACTATTTAAAATTAAATATTTTNGAAACCATCATATTGAACATAATTGAACTATTACTGTGGAAATGTAAAGTAAATAACAAATTTTATAAAGTAGTTTGAAACATTAAGAGAATATAAAAAAATATAAGTATGAAAATCATAGTTTTACAGAACTTAATATTAATACTATTTATCAAAATTTATTTTGATAATTAATAAAATCTTTAATAATGTAATGTATTTTGTAATGGGTTTTCACATTAATGCAATGATGAAAATTTTTTATTTTAGGCAGGATTAGTTTGTAAATTGAATACACGATGTTCAGTTTTAGCTGCTACTAATCCTAAAGGGCGTTATGATGTTAATCAGGTAAATTTTTAGCATAGAATGTAAAATTAGAAATAAGATTTTCAAATCATGCTAATATTTACATCTTTCTTTTATTCAGCCCCTTAGTGTAAATGTTGCATTAGCAAGCCCATTATTGAGTCGCTTTGATTTGGTTCTTGTATTGTTAGATACTCGTAATGAAGATTGGGATAATATGGTTTCATCTTTTATTTTAGAAGATAAAAGTCCATTAAGTAAGTTAAGTTAATAAGTTACATTAATATTTGTTTTCCTTTTTTCAAAAGTCTCTCCATTACTTACTTTATTTTTTTTTCAATTTGTTATGGATAGACATTTAAAATTGCTAATGAATATTTTTGTAGAATAAAGTAAATTACTAGAGGCTTAATTTTTTTATCATACAAATACTTTCAGTTAGATATTTTTCTTAATTTTAAATACTTTTTAATATTTAGTAAACATATGAAGCTAATGTGAGGTTCCAGAAAGGATCGAAACAAAAATTTAATTTTAAATTACCGTATATTTCTGCAGATAAGATGATAGTTGAATCATAAAAAATGGCCCTCAAAATTTGGGGTTGTCTTATAGGACAGATACAAAAAAATTAGATTGAAATTTATATAAATTAAATCCATTATAAAAAATGAACAAATGTAATTATTTACTAGTAAAGGGTAGGGTATGTCCACAAAATAGAATAGCCCATATGATGTTTTTGTAAATAGTCAAGGTCATTACCCAAATGCCCGAATCAGTGCAAAGGTTTGCAACAATTGCAAGGCAGTGCTGCCAGATGCAAGAAAATAAAATTTGTTTGTTTGAAAAATTACGAATAGGACATAATTCTGTATATGTTCTACAGTATTATTATTTAGATGATGATTGCTGATCCGAACTAAATTCATAGGTCATTGATAGTTTGTGGGTCGTCTTATAGGACAGATATATGCTAAAACAATAAAACTTTGATGAAAATTTATACTTTGTCTTATCTGAATGTCGTCTTATCTGGAGAAATATATGGTAATTAGGAGTGAAAACACTATTGTCAAGTCAGATCAAAGGCGATGCTAGTTATGTAAGGGAGAGGAGAGAAAAAAACTATAACTGTCAAACAAACACAATGCGAAAATAAATGACATAACTGATTAGATGACATGTTGGTTGGGAAAGGTATAACTCTGACACAAGCACTCATAAACAGTCAATCTAGGAAAAAATTTTGGAAAAGGGGAAAGATTTGATGGATAGAAAAACATTGCGTATGATCGTTAAAGTTCCAAAATGACAGAAATCACAAATAATGGGCTAAATTATGAGCACAAGACTTATGGTTCTATCAACAATCTCTGCGCATAGTCGATGAAAAGGTGTCAAATAGATACCTTGAATTGGACCTTTCTCATGATCCGATAAGGTCTCAGTTTTCACCTGGAAACAAAGGAGAGACCAATTGGGAAGCGAGGAATGGGCCGTGGGGGCCAATCAGAAATACGGATAGCGGGAGAAAAACTATAAAAATCGGTAATTCAAATTTGAAGGACTGCCTTCCTCTGGATTAAGCCCAAAGTTGTGCTCATTAACTTGTGTTGTGTTGCCATCGACCACATAGGATGCCACTGCATCTTTGTTGATCATCCGCATTCGTCCAATCTGTTAGACTTGATGTTGCTTGTCAGAGATTAGTAAAAACTGGTTGGACTCGCGTAACTGGTTATGTAACAAAGAAACAAAGAATACACAAAGATTACACTGTCTTGACTCAAGGAAGGTCAGTGCTGAAAAGAAAGAGAGTGAAATGAGGTCACCGTCACTAATGGCTCCCCAAGAGGTCAACAGCACCACCAATCTTTTATTATGTAATGGAAAAATATTTACAAAACATTACCACGACACAATGCATTGTACGTAACGATGTCATATAACATTTAACAATAATTTCAATCTAATTTCCAACACACCCCTTCAATGATTGATTGTTAATACAATCCAATATCTTGAATAAATTTCTTAACCTTATTCGCGTCTAGTGGTTTGGTTAACAAGTCAGCTGTCATTCATTCACTCAGATAATAGATTACAGTAATTTTTCCTGAATTTTTAAAATCAAAATGGTATTTTGTGTCAGTATGTTTCGTGCACTGTTGTGCTTTTCCTAATACTAAAAGTCGAATACAACTTTGATTGTTCTGAAATATTTTGATAGGTGTCGTGTGAGTTCCCGGAAATAGCCCCCCAAAAAAAGAAAGATATGTAAAAATTTGTTAAGTTAAATCGTCAAGAAAACAAATTATATAAGTGTCAAATCGGCGACTCGGACTTTGACGTCGACGCTCATAGAGAATAATGGGAAAAACAAAATTTTAGATATAGAAAATAAAAGAAGAAAATTTAAAATATTAAAGTTAAGATGCAGTTTAGAAAGCAAAATGAAACTAAAAAAATATCAAAATGAACGTAGATGTTATAGTCAACAATTAAACACGATCAGAGTCTAAAGATGGTGCCGGATAAACCATCTCCAGCCGACCTTTCCCACGAACTTTACGAAGCTCCATTTACACCTGGAGACGGGTGGAGGACCAATTAGAAAGCAATGATGTAAAGTCTGTCCAATTAGCAACAAGTCAATCTCAAAAAACTTATAAAAACACCGATTCCAAGGACGAGAGTTTCCACTAAACTCCCCTGTCAAGTACACCTGTGGTGTTCGTCGCCCTCTTCTCTTGGTGCTTCCGCTTGCTGATATCTTGTGACTGTTCGACTCCAAACTTTAACACGCCATTGCCCCAGGGCTCTTCTTCAGCTTGAAGGAAAGAAAACCATCAGTCATCCAATTGATAGGACTGAAGGCATCTTAAAGTTTTGAATCGAAGGACCCTTTTCTAAAAATATGTAAGCAATTTCGACCAGAATAAACGGTTTCTCTGTGAAACACTTGTCTTTTGCTGCTTCTCAAAACCGCCACCCACATACACTTAGACCTTAGACCATCCTGTTGGTAGGGAATAAAATCTCCCCCCCAATCGGCATTCTTACAGTCATAATCGGTAGATTTTTTCTTCTAGAAGTCGTTTCATCCATACAGTTTCTTGAGTAGCTTCTGCCAAGGCTACTTACTCAACTTCAGTAGATGAAAGTGCTACACACTGTTGCTTTTTACTAATCCAATGGATAGGACTTCCTTTTAGCAAGAGCAAATATCCTGTGTTTGATGTGCGATCTATACGATCGCCTCCCCAGTTGGCGTCTACATAACATTTAAGTTCTAAATCTTTATCAATATTTCCTAATTTAAGTTTCTTCTTTTTTGTTGAATTCAGATAACGAAAGATTCTTTTTACTTTCACCCTTCCGAAGGTTTCGTTACTTTTCTCGCTAATATCAATGTACTTATCGCAATATATGGATGCGAGTTAGTCGCTAGATATAATAAAGATCCAATAGCACTTCTGTATACATTGTTTTTGAACGTATCGGGCATTTCATTTCTTAAGTATCCTGTATTCATAGGAATATTAGATGATCTTGAATCGGATAAGTTAAATTTTCGCAATTTATTCTCGATATAACTTTCTTGGTGGAGTGAAATATTCTGTTCTCGCCTCTTTCAAATTGTATTCCTAGATAATGTTTTAAATCACCTAAATTTTTGATTTTAATCATTTCTTTCATTTTGGTCTCAAATTCAGTTAACGTATGTTCGTCTGTTGCCATTGCTATTACATCATCTACATAAATTGCTAAATACAAGCATCTTTTATGGCCTCTGGTATAAAGACAGTGATTGGCTACACTTCTTCTAAATCCTTTAAATAGCAATGTTTCATTGAATTTTTTATTCCATTCATTTGTTCCTTGTTTCAAACCATATATATTTCTTAATAATTTGCAAACCATGTCCTGCAATCCTTCTTTGTATCCTTCAGGTTGTTTCATGTATACCTCGTGTGATAAGTCTCTGTTTAAGTAAGCCATTTTGATGTCATAATGCTTAACTTTCATATTCTTAATTCCGGCTATAGTTAGGAGTGTTTGTAGGGTGACAGTTTTGATCACAGGGGCATATACGTCATCATAGTCAAAGCCATACTTTTGTGTGTAGTCTTGAGTGACTAAACAAGCCTTAAAACTATTAACTTTATTATTTTCGTCTCTTAATTTTGTATACCCATCTGCTTCCCACTGCAGTTTTACCTGGAGGTAATTTCATAATTTTCATGTGCTGTTATGTTTCATGGCTGCTATTTCCTTATCCATGGCTTTGCTCCATTTTTTGGAATGTTTGCTTGCGATTGCCTCGCTATATTCTCTCAGTTCTACTGCATCTTCTGTCACTAATAAATTTATTGTTTCAATTAACCTTATGGGAGGTACTGCCTTAGTAGTTCTTTCTGATCTCCTTAAATGTATACAAGTTTCTTGTTCCCTTGCTTTTGTTTCGTATTCTTCTTTTAAATTAGTATTATTAACTATTGTTACTTGTTTCGAATTTTCATTATTATCATGTATATTGATTTCGGAGTCTCTGTGCTTGATGTTTTCCAGAAAGTGAACATTTCTGCTTATTGTTATCTTATCAGTTTTCATGTCAACTAATCATAAGCTTTTATTGCTCTCTTGTATCCTACAAAAATTAGTTTTGTGGCTTTAGGTTCTAGTTTCTTTCGATCTTTAGGTTTAATAACATAGGCTGAGCATCTGAAAATTCTTACATGCGAGAGGTTTGGCTTCTTTCCATGCCATTTTTCGTATGTTGTTTCACTCGCTTTAGTAATTAATCTATTCTGTAGGTAATTTGCATTATTTACCACTTTTGCTCAGTATTTGTTTGGTAATCCAGCATCAATTAACATGCATCTTGTCATTTCTGTCAGATATCTATTCTTCCTTTCTGCTACTCCATTTTGTTGCGTGGAATAAGGTGCTGTAGTTTCCCATAGAATACATTCATTTTTAAAGAACTTCTTTAAGTTGGTACTTGAAAATTCACCTCCTCTGTCCAATCTGATTCTTTGGGGAGTTCTTCCAAATTTTGTTTGTACATATTTAACATATTCCTTTTTTTTATCAGGTACTTCACTTTTATGTTTAAGAAGATATATTTTGATGTACGTACTGTAATCCCTTAGGTTCATTCTGACGTGGGATTAATTGATTCCCTCTAAAAGTTGGCATACTTACACTAATGTAAAAACTTCTTTTATTTATATTTTTACTTTGGTTTATGTGAATTATACCAAATTGGAGAAAATTCAAGGACTTCTTGTAATGAAACATTTAATAATCATAAAAGCAGTAAAACAGAAAAACAAGTTGTTCTTGTTTCCCATTATATTTAGATGATTATTCTTAGTACTAGATTATTATATTTGATATTCAAGCTAAACTTAAACTTGTACATTATAAAAATGCAAGAGAAAAATTAATTTCTTACTTTATTCATGGAATTGATAACATTTAATTCAAAATAATTTAAGATTTTTTTTGTGATAGTTCATATTTAGAAGTAATTATGTTATTTTTAAATTGTAATAAGTTTTTACATATTTATTGTTTCTTTTAAGATATATTATCTACATTTTTTTTTTGCTTTATGTATACTTAGCTTCTTAATATAAGATAAAATTCCCAAAAAACATTAAATCAAAGAAGCTTTGATTTAAAAAAAAACTAGAAATTACCTTATTTTTTATAGTAGAAATCAAAATCTTACTTGGAATTGTTACAAAATGTTCCAATAACTTCAATGTGTTGTTAAGTTTTTAGTGAGTTATTAAATATACTGAGTTGCCAATATTTTTTATGATTATTGTTTAATATTAATATTATTTGTCGATTTTATAAAATATAGTTGAACCTAATGATGAAGATCTTTGGGGCTTAGAAAAAATGAAAGCATACTTTTGCTTAATCAAGACTTTAAAACCAAAATTAACAGATGATAGTAACAGGTAATTTATTTTATTTTTTTAGTAAATTGATTTTATTTAAGATTTAATGAATTTTATGTACAGTTTTATTTATTAGAATGTGACATTACTTTCTGTATTAGAAAATTTATTTCTCAGTGTTTTTGGATTGTCATCAAATACCAGTAAATTTTATATTGCAAAATATGCCATATTTTTGTGCATTTAAGAGTATAATCTTATATCTGAGTACAAGAGAATGCTTTTTATAGATGGGTCAAAATATTCACAAATTATCTAAAAAACCTCACTATTTTTAAAAACTTTTATAGTATGAGAAGCGTTTTTTTTATTTTTAGTAATGATAGCTGATACACTGAATAGTTACTGTATCAATATATTTACATCTAATTTACATTGCAGTGTTCATATAAGCCAAAACAAACTGGCATATATAAGAGCTTGTTCTTATAAGTGAACCAGGACAATGTTTCAGAAATGTGAAAACAAGAAAATTCTCACACATAAGAGCATGATCTTATTTGCTTAGAAATACAATAGTATAATAAAAAATTTGTCTTGCTACATAAATATAGAAGTCTTCTTTGAATTATTTTCTCAATTAAATGCTTTTTGAGATGTTTTTCATCTCATTTTCAGATTAAATCTTCAAATTCAGAACTTGAAACATTGTTTAATTGAAAGGTTCTTTTTTTTTTTAGCACTGTAATGGAAATTAAAATGGAACGTTATTTAAAAGTTTTGTGATGTGTTCCAGATTTGAATGTGGACATTGGTTATTGGTGATACTTTACCATGGAAGAAAATTAATTAGAATCATTTAATATGATCAATACAAAACCTTCCTCACTTGTTTCTAGCCGTTTATACACGAGTATGAACGTTTTTGGACTTCTTAATAGGCCTTCTTCAGATACATTGTGATCTGTTAGAGCGTTGGTTGGTAGAAGTTTAAACGCTGCCAATGTTTACCTAGGTATCGTCTTACCAGTGACGTCATTGTTGATGATAGGTATAGATGATACCGAGGGTGAAAAATACTTTCTTTTGGTAAAAAAGAGAGGTGTGCAGATAGCTTCTTTACGTACTGCACTTACTTTACAATTTATTCCCCAACTTTAGCGAGTATCCCATCATGAACTATCTGCACACCTCTCTTTTTTACCAAAAGAAAGTATTTTTTGCCCTCGGTATCATCTATACCTATCATCAACAATGACGTCACTGGTAAGATGATATCTAGGTAAACATTGGCAGAATTTAAACTTCTACCAACCAACGCTCTAACAGATCACAGTGTACCTGAAGAAGGCCTATTAAGAAGGCTGAAAACGTTCATATTTGTGTATAAACGGCTAGAAACAAGTGAGGAAGGTTTTGTATTGATCATCATTTAATATTTTTTTAATATGCCTGCCAGGATTGATTGTGAATTACAAGTTGTTTGACATGTATATTACAAAAATTTAAAAAATATCAATTAATTTTTTTCACAGTTAAAATGTTATCCATAACAAATCTGACATGTCAGAAAACTTTTAAACACTGTTCCATTAAATCTGTTTTTAACTGAAAGTTTTTTTACACCATAAGGGAATTTACTTCCCTTTCAGTTAAATGAATGTTTTGGAGTTTTAGCAAATTAATATAGCAGGGCTTATGAGAAAAACAGATTTAAATTAAGGGCAAGGTGTTGAAAACTTATACAAATATCTTATGAAGCATTTTATTATTTCAAACTTCTTCTCAACACTTAGAAGTCTTTCTTTTTCAGTACTTGGATTTTTACAATGAGGACACTCACATTTGGGATACTTTCATTAAGACAAATATACAAATTCAGAAGAATAGTACAATACACACCTGTAGGGTAATGCATGTGAGTAAACTGGGATAAGAGAAAGATGATGTGTGTGTAGATTTTATGTATCCCTACAGGTTACTAAGTTCATCTAGGTGGTGTTTTTTGTATTCATCTAGTATTATTTAGTAGCATAAAGCATAGTCACTTTGTAAAGAATCACATATGAGCTAATATGATGTATTTTGTGATTTTATTTTCCTATTTATCTATTATTTATAAACAAATCTGTGCATTAGAAATACATGTAATAACAGAAGAGACTGTAATTATACATTCAACTTTAAATTTTTTAATATTTATTTTTTAATAATACTCTCTTAATAATTTGAAGTGGAAGGGAAGATCAAATAAGCTCATTTCTTATTTCTTGCACTTGGTTCTTTACATCAGGAATGATATTATCTTCAGATAAGTATCCCCAAACAGCTAGGTCATCATCAATGTCAACAAAAATCTTTAAATGACACTTTTTCATCATTTATTGCTGTAATGAAATTGGTTTCATATTCTTTGATAAAGTTAAGAGATTATGGTGGAAATTTTAATTTGTTCAAAGCATCAAGAAATTCTTGACCAAAACCTGATTCTGTAAAGCAATTTGCAATGGTGCTTTGTGAAACTTCATTTCAAGCTTTGTTAATCATTTGCATTGTATCTAGCAGTTCCACTTCAAATTCACATGTTTCACCTTCAAAAACATGAAATATTGTTTATATCATAAGCTTTCTGTATTGTAATTTAAAGTTTTAAATGATTCTCTGATTGAAAAGTTGCAATCAGGGCTGTGGAGTCGCGTAAAAATCTACCGACTCCGACTCCAACTTTTCCTTATCATCCGACTCCAACTCCGGCTAAAACACCAAAACTCCACGACTCTGACTCTGACTCCGACTCCACAGCCCTGGTTGCAATCTATAAGTTATATTTGGTGGTAAAAATTGAATTTTATAGTTTTCAGATTGAAAATAATCAAATTACAGTCAAAACTTGGTTTATGAACTTAATTTGTTCCTAAAAGTTGTTCTCAAACTGAAACAGTTTTCCCATAAGAAGCAATGCAAAATGGATTAAGCCATTTCTAACTCCTAAAACAAAACCTTTTTTTCTTTTTTTACTTTTTTATCTGTATTCCATTCATACTGTGGGTAGCCTGAGGTAGGACGAAGTCGTACCTCTTTTTGATAGGCAACAGTTTGGTGAGAACTGCCCACTGGTCAGTGGATGGCTTGTTTATGGTTTTTTCTATCCTGGAAAGTCGGGATTCTTTTGTCAGGTTGAGTGGAGGAGGTGAGAGGGATCGTCGGTAAAGTGTGAGCGATACTCGAAGTAAAGATGACTTTTAACAACAAAACAAACATTTATTTAGACAACATACTATCCTAACATACAGGGATTAACTATTCGCGCGTAATTCGAAGTAACCGCGCCGAGAGAGAATTTACAATATTTGGTCATACCTCCAGTTGATTCGAATTCGTTTTCTAGGATTCGCTTCGGCAAGGTCTGGAACGTCTCCCTTGGGCGAGATCAGGCGTTGGCTCGTGTCAGGCGGCGTCGCCCCTCCTGTCGGTTCTCACCTCTCGTTTATACCCTCTGGTCTCGTGGTTGTTTTTTACCAATCACAGAATTTTTTGGATAAGGTCTTGGTGATTCAGTTGCAGGTTCCGTTGGGAAAGGAAGTTACTCCGGAGACGGAAAGATGAACATCCTCCCTTGGAAAATTTCGAAAAAAACCAAAAAGGGAAAATGGAGGGTTTCTTTGTTAAAACTACTTTATAGTTAATATTGTAATTCTGCTGATTTATTTAATTGTTCTTGATTCGGGCCGCTTCTCACAATACAAATGCTTACAAATGCAACATAATATATATAATATAATATTATCTATATATTCATTTTATGTTTATATATATATTTAAAACAAAATGTTCCATCATCAAACTGAAACCATCACTTTACAAAAAACACTATAAATAGAGACTTGACTTTGCCTGTATGAAATATAACCAGATCAATTAAGTTGGACAACAAGTACTTTATCCACACTTTCTGAAATATTATGTTTCAATTGATTTGATTTCAATTTAAATTTAAATTAATTAATTAATTTTGCTTTTATTTTTAGTTTTGGTTTTGGTGTTAGAACCAGAGTTTTAATTATTATTTTTAGTTTTAATTAACTGGTTACCTAGTGTTAATACTTGATTTGATATTTATGAATAAGTTTTGTTATTTAATTTGTGTTAAGCATCTTTATACATGATTTGCAGATGTCATTTAAATTATGCAAATGTCAATTAATGCGATTTTTATTTAATTTGATTTAAATTCAATTGCAACGCATATTGAAAAACAGAAGTAGTAATAACATTGATGGTTCATGTCACGACATCTAATGATGCAAGATGATCTCTGCGCCACTAACTTCTAAATTAGTAGTCCTGTCATTGATTGGTCAGATTGTCAACTTTCTTTAACATAGGAAGTGTATGAAGTTGACCATCAGTGGCTGGCTCTGTCAAATAGCTTGTTCAAAAATCGAGTTATCATATGGCAACCAGAGCAAATATGGCATCCAAAATTTTGTTTGTAAACAAGGGTGTTTGTAACCTGAGGTTTGACTTTATTGATAAAAAAAAAAATAATAAAAATAATTTTTCTGTTTTTGGCAGTCTTGCAGGTGTCTACATTTTTCAGTCAGCGAAAAATCTCTGATGTCATCCATTATATAGTTTTCATTTAATTTAAAAATTATATAAATATTTAAATCATTTTCGTCAAATTTCACAAAATAATTTGTTTTATAATTATACATAAATTTTTTTAACTTTTATTAAACGAGCAATTATTTATTGTGACAGTGTCATAATCTGGGTTGCAATTTTAATCATATTGTTAATTTATTTAATTTAAAATATGCTCTCCACCTTCAAAGTAGCAGTGTCTTGCCCCTTTTTCCTGTTAGAATAGTCATGCTGGTCATCTATCTAACTCCTTTCAGGGGAAAATTTTTGAATTGAAATAACATGACTTCTGGTTTGCATTGGAAATTTGTATATAGTTAATTGAGGCCTCCTGCCCCTTAGCTTTCCATATATGTTCTGGATTTCATCTATCTAACTCCATTCTCGAGATTAAGAGAGGACAGACAGATGGACAATGGTGGGAATTTATAGGTCTACAATTTTTTAAACTTGCAGCCCAATGACAGAATACTTCTAAATGTATGAAAAAATAGAAAAACACTTTCTGATATGTATTACTATGTTTGTGAAAATTTCATAAAAATTTCAGCCAAAGTTGTGAAAACTAAAAAAAAATAATAATAATAAATAAATAAATAAATTATAAATTATCCAAATTAAACTTGTTTCTGAAGAGGTACATTAAGACAAAATATAATATAATGGTGTCCTCATTACGAAATTTGGCAATGTTTTATTGTAGTTTTCTTCCTTTGTTTATTTGTTAGAGTTGAAATGATATGTAGTAATATTGTGACATTAATTGCTTGTATAACAATAAAGCTTAAAATTTAAATAATTTTTATTGAGTTATACATAAAATTATTATTTTTTAATTTTTTATATCTAAATACATAGAATTTCTTTAAGATAGTTTATATCTGGAATGAGCTAAAAACATTGGTTGTTTCGTTAGACTTATTTCAAAGGTTCCATAATGTCATAATATATCTTAGAGTAAGTGTCTTAGGAGGATATATTTTCTTTTATTACAGTATTTTTATTTGGTTAAATAAGAAAATCAAGATACTTAAAATTTTTATTTTTTAAAAATAATTTTAAATAGAAATAGTTTACTTATAATGCTGTTAAAAATGCTGTTAGATTGAAATTTCAGTTTTTAATTTCTAAAATCAAGCAATTAAAGTTTATTATTTTCTAATAGAATACTTCAGAAATATTATCAATGTCAGCGTAATACAGAAAACCGTAATGCTGCTAGAACTACAATTAGATTACTTGAAAGTATGGTTAGACTTGCACAAGGTAATTATTAAGTAGTGTTTAGTTTGATATTTGTAAATTAGTTATTTTACAAAAATAAATATGCTTTCATTCTCAAACTTATGGTAACTTTTAAATAGATTAGACTTTTGATTTAATGAACTTCAGATTTAATGGATAAAAATTTTCTATCATATAAGAAAAATTTGGTTTGAGGACAAAGGGTTTTGCACAAAGGTTTGATTAATAGGTCAATCAGTATAAATTACTCAACATACATTATAGTGTTATTTTACTCATATTTACACATTATAATATCATTTTAACACATTTTCCACATTTTAAGTCTGTTATTAATATATGTTTTAAAACAATCGATTTAACAGATTTTTGGCAATAGCAGATACCCCTTCTCAATTAATCTTTTAAATCAGGAGTCTACTGTATTTTGTTCTTATATTTAAAACTAATTATTTAATAATAATTTTATTTTTAATTTGTCTAAATATCAGCTGATTTATTCAAATATTTTTTAGCCATTAGAAGAAATAACTCTAAAGAGTTATTTTTTTTCTAATGGCTGAAGAACAGCTATCACTATACCAGTTATCACCAGCTTTTAAGACATATGCAAATTCTTTATTAGAAGTTAGAAAAATTGACATAACAGTAATGTTTTAGATCAATAAAGCCATACCAGGATATAAATTATAATAATAAAATAAAATTTTAAAATTATGAACAGCTTTAAATATGACAATACTGTAGTAACCACTGGCATATAGAAACAATTATTGTTACTATATGCCAATGGTTACTACAGTATACAGGGCATAACAGAAAGGCATGTAAAAAGTTTGAGGGATTGTAGAGGGTCTAATTTTGAGTCGAAACTCTAGAGCCATTTTTTGATTTGAAGCATTCGTTTTGAGTTTTAAACGATTTTAAAAAAATGTGACATCACTTCCTGTTTAGCAAAACACCATTTGATGTAAGAAAATATTTATCGATAATTGCATGTTAGTTTGATAGCCGTTACTTATTATCTGCAATTTTATTAATTTGTAACTTGGATTTTGAATCTTTTTTGTAACAATATGTGGTTTAACTTTATATATATGTTTCAGGCTGATGCTAAGTTCCACAATTAGCCAAAATTTGCATATTCAAAAATGTTCTTAGAACATCTTTGAATATGGAATGTTTGGAACATTTAAGTGTAGGCTACTTCTAATTTCCATATTTTAATATCTTTGAATAATATGGAACTTTAAACTTTCTAAGTTGAAGTCAAAAGTGTTTGTATTATTTGTATTTGTTTGTCAACAGCAATTTAGTTTGTGTTGACTAAAGTGATTTTTTTTATAATAATGTCTGAATTTACATTTTTTGGAATATGCTAATATGCATTTGATGTATGGGCAAGCTTGCAATAATGCACTTGAAGCTAGATGACTGTACCAAGAAACTTTTCCTGGCAGAAGAGGGCCAATCACCAAACATTCACTGCTGTAGCTAGACATCTGAGAGAAAAAGGGCAGTTATACCTTAGTAAAAGTGAGGGATAACCACCAAATGGCAACCAGAATATCCAAGACTTAGATCTTAAATTGGTAGAAAATTATCCTGGCACAAGTACTAGGAAGGTTGGTGCTATTGTGGGTGTTAACCATATGACTGTTTGGCGTACTTTGCAGGCACTGAATCTGAATGATTACTCTCAATGAGTGGCGTTTTGTCAATTGCTTTTGCATCAGTGTGCTCAAAATCCAATTTTTTTGAGTAATATTCTTTTCATGGATGAAGTGACTTTTTTACAAGATGGGATTATTAATTCTCATAACATGCCCACTGGTCAGAAGTAAATCTCCATAGTGTTACTATGCAGTCTCATCAGCAGCAATTTTCTGTAAATGTTTGGTGCAGAATTATTAGTGATTATTTAATTGAACTTCATACATTATGTCAACGACTAACTGGCCTCACCTATCAGCACTTCTTGGAACACCATTTACCATAATTACTTGAAGATATGCCTCTAATGACCCAATGGGACATGTGGTTCATGCAACATGATGGTGCACTTGCACATTTCAGCCTGTTGTCCAGAGCTTACCTCAATACCACTTATCCCCAATGGTGGATAGGTTGAGGTGGAAATGTTGCTTGGCTTGCACAGTCATCTGATCTGAATCCTCTAGATTTTTTTTTTGTTTTGGGCCATTTAAAATTTATGGTGTATGGCACAGACATTCTGAATCTTGTAAAACTTCAGCGAAGAACTGAAGATGGTTGCGATTCAATAAAAAATTGCCCAGGAATGTGTGAACATGTTTGTCTATCCTTACGTCAATGGGCTGAAGCCCTTCCTGACGTCCATTCAAACTGATGGATGCCATTTTGAACACTTTTTGTAAATAAATGATTTGTAATTTAAATAAGATTGTTCAATAATGTCTGTAAGAACTTTGATTAATAAATTACTTAGGCATCCTTTATTTTCCCTTACACCCATTATAACTGTATTCCTCAAAATCCAAGTAAATTAATAAAATTGTAGATAATAAGTAAAGGCTATCAAACTAAAGTGCAATTATCAACAAATATTTTTATACATTAGATGATCATTCGCTAAATAGAAAAAGATGTCACATTTTTTAAATTGCTTATAACTCAAAATGAATGCTTCAAATAAAAAAAAAATGGCCCTAGAGTTTTCAATTTGAAATTAGCCCCTCTACAATTCCTCAAATTTTTTCACACCTTTCTGTTACACCCTATATATGCCACTTTCTAGAACATAGGAGTCATATATTATAAAGTCGTGGGCAAATATGAATTATATGATTGTATAAAATAAATAATAGTGTTGATTTGACATTTACATATGACATGCTTCAATATTTCATTACATTTTTATAAATTTGAAGTGTTATAATGATTGAACATATAACATTTGTCATAACAGTTAAATCTTTTGTAAGCAATTTTTAATGTTTTCACATTTTGAGTTTTAAATACAGTCGACCCCCCTATAATTACGGTCCCTATAATTACGATTCCTATAAAACTACAAAAAAATTGTGACCGGTATCCGTAAAAAACAGTAAAAATTCCCTATAATTACCTCAAACGTCATCGGGCAGCCGAACTACTTTCCCGCCGTCCGTAGCGCCACGCTACGGAGAGATTTCTATCGTCTGGACAGTATTATATAAATTATATATAAATTAGGTACTGTATATATAATTATATATTAACTTATTGTAACTTTGTTATAATTAAATATATAATTTCCGCCGTCTAGCGTGGCGCCACGCTACGGAGATTTTTACGCTAACTATCGTCTGTAGAGTATGTAAATTAGGTACCGTAAGTCTAATACAGTACTGTAATTTTATACATTTCTTGTGAAAGAAACATTTCTTATTCAACGGCGATTAAAATTATTTATATTAATGATGTCTCGGAAGTTCAAGGAACTATTCGCAGAAAAATAAGTTATTAGAAATCGCCGCGGTTTGCTGAGCTGTTCCGCGACGAAAACAAGCTTGAACAATGGCGATGTCGAATGGTGACACTCGGTAAGTAATCCTACAATTTTTTATTTATAGCGTAGTTTATACAGATTATTTCCAAAAAAAAATATACGTATTTTGGAAATGTTGAGTTGGATTAGTGTAGAATCGATTAATTTTATGGAAGAAAACCTTTCAATCAGCCATAGTCCGTAAACTTGACACGTGTCGGGCTGTGATTGGAACGACTCGTAAGAAATCGGATTCCTAAAGAATGGAACGTATCTATATCTTATAGGGGGGTCGACTGTAATTACAACTCATCGTAGACTGCATTTCTTAATAACTAAACACACTCAAGAAAACCTTTTAAACGAAAACATTAGAATTTAATAAATACGACTGCATATTTAAAAGGTTTTCTTGAGTGTGTTTAGTTATTAAATAATTGCCTTTATGTAATTAATGACAAGCTGTATTCAATGTTGGAAAAAGCCAAATGTAGTTACGAGTTGCAGTTTGGCCATATCTGTTATATGCTATATTCTACTGATTTTATTTAGACTGAATTAGTTTGTCTGAATCTTTTAAATAACATTCAAGGGTAACATTCTTTTAAATAACATGTGTGTAATAATAATAGATAAACTACATACAGTACTTCCAAATAAGATTTATTTTTTTATTAAGTTTCTTTAGTTTATGAAAAAAAGCATATAGATAAATAATAAACAGATTGCTTGGGCTATTTTGAAGTCATATTTAAATTTTGATGATGGAAATAGATAGAACTACTGTATTGTCACATAATAACTTTAATCTTGAATTTAATACAATATGTTGGTATTACATATATAGATAATATGAATGAGCTATAAGAAACACACACACACATATATATATATATATATGTGTGTGTGTGTTTCTTATAGCTCATTCATATTATCTATATATGTAATACCAACATATTGTATTAAATTCAAGATTAAAGTTATTATGTGACAATACAGTAGTTCTATCTATTTCCATCATCAAAATTTAAATATGACTTCAAAATAGCCCAAGCAATCTGTTTATTATTTATCTATATGCTTTTTTTCATAAACTAAAGAAACTTAATAAAAAAATAAATCTTATTTGGAAGTACTGTATGTAGTTTATCTATTATTATTACACACATGTTATTTAAAAGAATGTTACCCTTGAATGTTATTTAAAAGATTCAGACAAACTAATTCAGTCTAAATAAAATCAGTAGAATATAGCATATAACAGATATGGCCAAACTGCAACTCATAACTACATTTGGCTTTTTCCAACATTGAATACAGCTTGTCATTAATTACATAAAGGCAATTATTTAATAACTAAACACACTCAAGAAAACCTTTTAAATATGCAGTCGTATTTATTAAATTCTAATGTTTTCGTTTAAAAGGTTTTCTTGAGTGTGTTTAGTTATTAAGAAATGCAGTCTACGATGAGTTGTAATTACAGTCGACCCCCCTATAAGATATAGATACG